AATTGCTTAGGGCCTTTGAATTTGCAATCTTCCTGCCTCAGCCTCCTGAGTTGCTAGGATTATAGGCATGTACCACAGCACCTGGCCAGAAAAAGACATTTTTATTTTTTGAATCAGGAATTGAATCCAGGGGTGCTTAACCACTGAGCCACATCCCCAGCACTTTTTATTTATTTAAAAATAAATAAGTTGCTTAAGGCCTCCATAAATTGCTGAGTCTGGCCTCCAGATCCTTCTGCCTCAGCCTCCTGAACCACTGGGATTATAGGTATGTTCCACTGTATCCGGCCATAAATAGACATCTTTAAACAAACAGAAAGAAGATACACATGTTGAAATGATTAGAAGAAAACCTAAATATAATTGTGGTTGGGTGTCTGTGCGGTGATATACCTGTAATTCCAGAGGCTTGGGAGACTGAGGCAGGAGAATTGCAAATTCAAGGCGAGTCTCAGAATTTAGTGAGACCCTAAGCAACTTAGTGAGACCAAACCCTGTCTTAAAAACTTGATTCTAGGATTATAAGTCTGAGCTACTGTGCCAGCTAGCATCAAATTTTCTAGTGCTAAAATAGCAACAAATCTAAGCATAGACAGAATGATGTCCATACATAAGGATTAAAAGAAATTAATAAAACTGTCAGTATTATTATTTTGGGGGGTCCTGGGCATTAAACTCAGGGGCACTCAACCACTGAGCCACATCCCCAGCCCTATTTTGTTTTTTGAGACAGGGTCTCACTGAGTTGCCTAGAACCTCGTTTTTGCTGAGGCTGTCTTTGAACTTGCAATCCTCCTGCCTCAGCCTTTGGTGCAACTGAGCCTGGCAAAACTGTCATTATTTGTGAATGATATTTTTATTTATTCTGTGGTCCTGGGGATTAAGCCTAGGGCTTCCTGCATGCCAGGCAAACACTATCATTGAGCTACAAAATGTCATATGATTTTGTATGTAGAAAATACAAATAAGCTGGGCACAGGGGCATATGCCTGTAACCCTAGCTACTCGGGAGACTAAGACAGGAGGATTGCTTGAGTCCAGGAGTTCTAAACCAGACTGGGAAACATAAATGCACCCGCCAGCACCCGGCACATGAAGTTGGTATTACTACAGGGTGACTTGGTCTCCTATGCACTGGGCCCAGCTCTGATGAATTCAGTAGTACTCAGGGGCTGATTTTTTTTTTTTTTTTTTTTTTTTAAGTGGGGGGCTGCTGGAGATTGAACCCAGGGTGTTCTACCACTAAGCTACATCCCTAGCTTGCTTTTTTTTTTTTAACTTTGAAACAGGGTCTCATTAAGTTGCTGAGGGTGGTTCGAACTTTTGTCCTCCTGTTCCCACCTTTGGAGTTGCTAGAATTACAGGCATATGCCACTGTGCCTGGCTAAGGGCTGATTTTTTAATAACTACTAGCTCTCTCCTGCAGAAGATGTGGCCTTGATTCAGACACTTGGGATTTGAACTGTTAGCTTTCTCAGTCACCACATAAAATCACCTTATTTTTTGGCAGTACCAGGAGTACTCTACCATTGAGCTTCATCTGCAGCCTCCTCCCCTTTATATTTTGGTCCTACGGATTGAACCCAAGGGCGCTTTAACCATTGAGCTTTTTACTTTTTTGAGACAGGATCTCACCAAGTTGCCCAGGTTTGACTTGAACTGAGAATCACCTGCCTCAGCCTCTGAGTCTCCGGGATTACAGCATGTGCCACCGTACTCAGCTGGAATCATTTATGAACACAGGTACCTCTGTGGTAGGGCCTGCTCTGTCATTTGTAGCAGATGGCAGAGCAGCTGACAGAACTCTTGCAGCCTTCTGGCAATTGGGCAACAGTTTTTCAAGTGTCAAGGAATCTTTCTTCAAAATCCAAAATGTCCTACCACAAATTGTGCCTTTCTTACTGGTTAAAGAGTCGCAAGATGCAGGGCTGGGAATATAGTGGTAGAGCGCTTGCCTAGCATGTGTGTATGTGTGCTGCTTTGGTTCAACACAGCAGGAAAAAAAAAATTGAAATTTTTTGGTCTCTATACATGTTCCTAACCTCAAAAGTTGTCCAAAGCTGATTTACTTTCCTGGATGGGGAAAACCATTTGGGTTGTTCTTGGTCTTTCCTACCATTGTGACTCTTTCACAAACCAGGGACCCAGTGAGAGATTGGCTTTCTGGAGTACCCTTGCCCACTCACACTTGGGTTTTGACATCATAACAGTCTATAAACTTGTGACACACACAGTATCCATCCAGAGAATCCAAGGCCACTCTACCTTCCTGGAATTGTTCTCTAACAAAGGGGTCATCAGGGAATAATGGGTCCCAATATTCATGCTGACTTAGACCCAAAGTCTATCAGCCCTGAGAATGGGATCATTCATTCCTTCTGCCCAGGCCTTGGAGAGAAATATAGTAAAATATTGTGTAGTTGTAATGGTGCCATGCCTTTCCTCAACTGATAATGGTCTTTGGGTCTGAGAACTGGTTGTAAATAGAACAAGTACTAAGAACATAAAACCAACCACAAGAAAAACATGGTTGATGTCAGTTTTGTTTCCAGTCTTCTCCTTTGGCTATTTTAGCCAAGATATACCTTCATTAGCTGTCCTCATTGTTAGCCTTTGCCGCAGATCCAGGATGATCAAGGTCCCTCACTGCTATTACTACAATCATGTTTACCACCCCTGATGGCCAACACTACCTGTGTGTGGAATCCTTGGGCTGATCTTCCATTAAGCGTCTCAAAATGCTGATGCCACTCCTCCAGCACATCCTTCTGTATCCCTGGTCACTTCCAGAAAATATTCTTTGCTGTTTTCTCTGGTCCCCGTCTTTCCTAGTATAACCACCCTTTTCAACAGAGACCATTTCCTAGCTATGTGCCCTTGCCACTAAGCTGTAATATGGGAGATATTCCAATCAACAGATGTCATAAGGCCTTTTCATATGGTATGATCCTAATTGATTCGTAATTGTAATATCAGGCTCCTCAGAATCTTTGATGAAAATAAACTTCCTCTTCCTTCTGTACCATGTGCATCTCCCACCTCCCACCCCCTCAGTGCTAGGGATGAAACCCAGGGCATCCTACATGCTAGGTAAGCACTCTACCAGAGTTACATCCTCAACCCCTATTTCCAGTTTTCTACAACCGGGATTGACTATTAATACTTTTCTGGTACTGGGGATTTAATGCAAGGGCACTTAACCACTGAGCCACAAACCAAGCCCATTTACACTAGAAAAGGCAGGCAGAGTGGTAACGCTGGCTTTAAACTCCCACCACCACCATGCTGAGCTGAATGGACAAACTTTTAAGAAGCCAGATATTTCAGGATTTGGAAAGTGAGGCAAACCTTGTCTTCGTATTTTTACTATGACCAAGTTGAGACCTATTTGGGGAGAGCCTGTTTATTAAACAAAGCCCTATGCATATAGCTCAGTGATAGGATATTTTTAGGTTCCATTGTCAGCACTGTGTAAAACAGTAAAACCCTTTTTACTACAGCTCTTCATCTTTGAGGGATTCGAAGTTCCTGGTAAAGTTGATGCATCTTAAGACTTAGATTGTGGATCATCAGTTTAATAGGTTTACCAACCCACTCTGCAAATGAGACAACATAGGGCATACCATCATGTTGGCATGATTGACCTTCCAATGATAGGCCTACTTGTTACTGTAGGTTCCTCATCCCAAATTCTACCAAAGTTCCTGGAACCCATCCTTATGAATACTGAAAGCAGGTTCCTTGAAAGCCCACAGCCCAATGAAGTCTTTTTTCATAGCAGCCCAAACCTCATCTGGCTCTTAAACTGGAATTGAATTCCATCAGTTCCTCTAATCCTCCTTTACAACCTGTGGATCTCTGCTTCCCCATGATGCACTGTTGCTCCACACCTGGAGCATGGTGAAAATCAGGGTGTTCCAGGATGCCCTCCCACGGTACCCATTTATAGCCCTATACTTACACATTAGAGGCCAATGCTCCCATCTTGCCGTGCCATTGGAGAACCCACAACACTGGACAAAAGGCTGGCTGGTCAGGTGGGCCTGTGAAGTCCAATGAGGCCTGAAATTGCTAGATTCAGGTCTATAAGTCACTTTTTACAAAATCCCTAGGGACTTCATCAAGAACATTTTCTTTGCAAAAGCAGTAATTAGGACACCAGATGAAAATCCTTAAAATAATATTTTGACTTATTAAAATGTGAATAGGGTTGTGGCTCAGTGGTAGAGTACTTGCCTATCATGTGGTAAGGAACTGGGTTTGATACTCAGCAGAACATTAAAGACAAAAGGTATTGTGTTCACTTATATTTTTTTAAATGTGAAATTTGGGAAAACAATAGCAAAGCATTTTTACACAGAATGCTACTAAAATAACCTCCATTCACATTCTTAAACTCCTAATAGTTATAAAATGAAAAAAGGTGTAGAATTATCTGGGAGTGAATTTGGACATAGTAATTTTAGTAGCAATTTGAAAAAAGGCCTCAAGTTTAAGAATATGTACAAACCAGCTAGGTACACAACACATATCTGTAATTCCAGCTACTTGAGAAGCTGAGGGGGGAGGATTATAAATTCAAGATCAACTTGCTACAAGAACCTGAGTCAAAATAAAGGCTAGGGATATATAGCTCTGTGGTAAAATGACTCTGGGTTCAATCTCCAGTAATACAAAAAGTAAAAGAAAGTATGCACATCCTGTAAAAATCTGTCATTGCTAATTCTAATTCAGGAATGATGTTCCTATGGAAATAATCTTTAAAAAAATCCAGAACATTTAAACAGCACATTTTATGAAACATGTGAAAAGAGCTGTGACTAATGGCTCTAGCTATGAACAATATTGAACTCTAGCATCATAGGGATATTGCAAACAGCTTAAATACGGAGCACAAAAAATAGAAAACAAAATACACAAATGCATGCAAGTCAAAGGTGGCTGGGGTTGTGTCCTTCTTCATATTTGCTGGGATGTTTCCAGTCACCATTTCCACCATGCACATATTGAACATTTTTATTACTTTTATTTTAACCTCAATTCTAAGAATATAAAGATCATATATTTGATAACTAAGTAATTTTCAAATTGACACTAAAATACATTAGGATTAAAATGAGTTCTTTCCAACCACCCATTTTGCTACCTTTGCTGAGCAGATAATCTGTGCCAGTCATTGTGAAAAAGTCTTTATTTTAAGAAAAAAATTTAGTTAACAAAAAATTTAACAAGTTTCACTTAGCAAAATACACCCAAAAGGAAATCACAATACAAAGAAAGCTTTAAGTCAAGGCCTCACCAATTCCTACAGTATTAGTATTGTGTCTCAGTTCTCAAAACTAACTTTAAAAAGCTTTATCTTAACCTAAAAATTTTAAATGAAGAAGAAAAAAAAAATAGAACAAACAAACATGAGAAATGTTTCTCTTTGAATTAGGGATCTAGCACCTTTGAGTTCTCCAAAAAAGTACATCTCCCCAATGTGTTCACTGTGGTGTTGTGTAAAAGATCCACATTTAACATACTTAAAACTACTTTAACTCAGATAACATCACTCTGAAGTATACTACCAAAATGTTAATCAAGAAAAGCGGAAGAAAATAGTTTTTAGTTTACTCAATATCACATGCTAGAAGAAAAGTTTGCATGAGAAAACACTGAAGAGGTAATTTTTTAATCCAGATTTCACAAACTCATGGTGCAAAATGGGTCCCACAGCTTTCTCTAGTTATAAACTGCTTTCACTGCTTGTTGGCTGCCTGTGAAAATTTGATTGAAATAACTCAAATGTTACTACAAAACTAGTCATATCCACCCATGCTGTTCTGACCGCTATATCCGGCCCCATAACAGCCACTCACTGACTGGCTCTCCAGGCCACTATAGGTGGCCTGGGCAGCTGACACCCCCATGCCCTGCATCACCTGGCTGCTATAAGCTCCATTGCTGGCCCCTGTTGTTGAATTCAGGAAGAGTTCTATGTATCTGTGCTGCATGTTGGCCCTGTCTTTTGACATAGCTGCCACAGCTTCTTCATGGGTGGCAAACTCAACATCTGCTTCGCCCGTCACTCTACCATCAGGGCCAATCTCAATATGGACTCTCACAGGGTTGAGTGGAGAGAAGAAGTTGTAAATGTCGTTCTCTGTTGCTTTGTAGGGCAGCCCCCTCATGTGGACACAGTGGCCAGTGGTGCTCTGCACTGTGAATTCACCATCTCCATATCTATGGTCATACATTCCTGAGAGACAGTAACTGAGGTCTCTCCCAAACAGGTCGGTGGTAAAGCCGTAGCCATCACTCAGGCCGCTGTACTCCTCATAGCCCCCATAGCCTGCACTGTAGGCACCAGACCTCATCCTCTCCAGGCCCGCCTGCTTCACGATGCCAATGTACCTCCGGGCTGTGCCTGGCCGGTCATAAGGCCCCGGCCGCTGCACAGACATGAACTTCAGAGGTGGATCAGAATATGACCTAACTTCCTCCTGACTGCTCTTAAACACTTCGATATACCTATGCCCTATTCTCTCCTTGTGCTTCCCTAGAGCCTTTTCAGCTAATTCCTGTGAGGCAAACTGCACGAAGGCCTCCCCTGTAATCTTGCCCTCGGGGTCCACAGGCAATGTGATCCCGTTTGGCACAATTTCCAACCCTGAGAAGAACTGAACGATTTCTTCCTTTGTGCATCCAAACGGGAGTCCCCGAAGCCGCACGAAGCCGTCATTGGCAGTGTCGGCGCTGTTTGGACCACTGTGCTTCAACACCCAATCCATCTCGGTTCTGTGTGACTTGAACACCTCGATGTACCGGTGTCCCATGCTTTCCCTGTCTTTTTTCAGGGCCATTTTTACATCATCTTCTGATTCAAGTTCAACAAAAGCCTCACCACTCTGCCTGCCTTCTCTAGTGTAAATAAAATGGACACCTGCAACCCCATCATGAATTGTGCAGTCGGAGAGAAAGTTCTGCACGTCCTCAATTGAGCAGGACCAGGGCAGGCCACGGAGTTTGACCACAAAACCTTCACCTCCCTCAGGGCCCAGCATCATGGACACTTGACAAGGCAGATGTCAGACAAGCTTGTGCACAGGTTTCTGTGGCTGGAGAAAAAAAAAGGCAAAAACAACTTTACATAACTTTTCATTACTACGCAAAACAATACGCAATAAATAATGTCCCCATTTTTTAAATAATGCAGAAGGTTAAGGATGAGTAAATAGAAACAGTGAGATGTACCACATGCACCTGGAATGCAAATGACTTGGGAGGTTCAAGGTAGGAGGACCAAGTAGGAGGCCAGCCTAAGCTTGGTAACTTAGTCAGACCCTGACCTAAATAACAAAAGGCAGGTATGTGGTGGTACCCACCTGTAGTTCCAGCATTTGAGAGGCTAAGGTGGGAGATCACTTAAACCTAGGAATTTGAGGGCAGCCTGAGCCAGAGAGAGACACCAGCTTCTTAAGCTACACCATATAATTCAGCAATCCCACTACTGGGTATATATATCCAGAGGAAATTAAATCAGTTGACCAAAGAGACATCTGAATTCCCATGTCCATTGCAGCACTATTCACAATAGACAAGAAATGGAAACAAGCAGAATGTCTTGTCAATTAATGAATAAAACAGATGGAATTCTGTTGCTTAACAATAGAAGTGGATGGGGCTGGGGTTGTGGCTCAGAGGCAGAGTGCTTGCCTAGCATGCGCGAGGCACTGGGTTTAATCCTCAGCATCATTGTGTCAACCCACCAAAAAAAAAAAATAAAAAATAAAAAATATTGAGGCAGAACTGGACAATACATGAAACAACCCAGGAAAGATAGATATGTGTAGAATTAAATAAGAAAGGGGGGGGGGGAGTTGATCTTATAGAAGTTAGGCAGAAATGGTAGTTTCTAGAGATTGGGAAAAACTGACCAAAAAATACACTAAGTTAGTTAGACAGGAACAAGTTCTAGTGTTACTACATAGCAGAATATGACCATAGACAGTTATATACAAAAATTCCAAAGTTTTCACCATGAAAAAACAAATAGGTCTGTTTAGCCTGATTAAAATACTATACACGTACGGAGTACGTACATACACACACTTGGAAATATCACATTACTCCACTAATATGTAGTTTTGTTTTATAATTGGTATAATCGCAGGGACTTGGGAGACTGAGGCAGGAGGATTAGAAATTCAAAGCCAATCTTAACTTAGCTAGGTCTTAAACAACTTAGGGAAACGCCGTCTCAAATAGCTTGGCGAGGTTGTAAACAACTTAGTAAGACCCTGTCTCCAAAAATACAAAGGGCTGGGGATGTGGCTCAATGATTAAGCTCCCCAGCCCCCAGAGACAATCCCTGGCACCCCAATAAAATTTGGGGTTAGGGTGTGAAGGTCGGTACACAGCACATGTTTTTGTACAAGGCTTGGGTTAAATCCCTAGCACCAAATAAAAAATTGCTCTTTTGGGGCTGGGGTTGTGGCTCAGTGGAAGAGTGATCACCCAGCATGCATGAAGCACTGGATCTGCTCCTCGGCATCAAATAAAAATCAAGACAGGTAAGTGTTTTTTTTTTTCTTTTTTTTTAAATACTGGAGCGAAACCTTTTCAGTATTCTCCCTGGGTGGGGTGGTATACTCTAGTTACTTGAGACCAGCATCAGCAGCTCAGTGAGACCCTGTCTCAAAATAAAAGGCTGGGGATATAGCTCAGTGGTAGAGCACCCTAGTTCCAATCCAAGTAAACAAAACAAAACAAAAAACCCCCAAATCATCAGTATTCTCCTCAGCAATAATGCTGTCAGAATACAAGATAACAAGTATGATTCTGTTCTCCTGTCACTTCAACCAAATGCCAGTCAAGGTTGAAGCCAAACTGAAAGACAAGCAGAAAAGTCTGTATATGAGGTATAATAATAAACATAATGCAATTTACAGTAAAAAATATTTTAAATCATCAATGTACAAGATGACACTGAAGTATATGGAAATTTGTGGTCTGTATGTCATTCAGTCGTAAAGTATATATTTAGCATGTATGAGATCCTGGGTTTAATCTCCAGCATCAACCTCCCCGCAAATCAAACAAAAACTGGTGGCTTTCTTAAGAAGTGTAAACTATCATGTAGAAAGATTTGAGGAAAGGGAAAAAAAAGGGAAATTTATGATATATGGACTACTGAGCTGCATAGGCATCAAGGAAAACCAAATTAATGACATTATATTAGTACCATAGTGATATACAACTCATCCAAAACCACCCATGCTTAGCAGGTTAATTTTTAAATTCTTCTGAAATTAAAAAGGCACACACCACATTGTATAAGAATTTCACTCACCTGTATCTACAGACCACAAATGACAAGAATGCTACCTGCATGCTTATTTGTAAATGAAGAATTGAAAAATAGCCTCTCCACATCCCCCACCCCCGTAATGGTGTAAGGGCACAAAAAAAACAGCTCTATATGCAATAACCTGAAAATATCACCAAGACCTAACACTGAGAATTTATCCACATTATCACAATTTAGAATGCAAATGCCACATGTACTTAAGGTGTTACCCTTGCTGATGGGAAAGGGATGAGGGGGGGGACTAATCTATATTGTTCTCCTATGCATAAACGTATTAAATCAACTGCACATACAAATTTAATAAACATGTACTTCCTGAGCACTACCTCCTAGGCCTTATTGAAGACCCCGTAACTGGCACTGGTCCCCTCAGTGCAACAACATGCTGCTGTGGCAAAAAATACTAATAGCTCTCCTGCCCACTAAGGAAATTCTACACTAACAATTTAGAAATCTCCTTTTCAGGAAACGTTTTTATTGGACTTCTTAGGGTGATGACTAAGAGTGAGGCTTCCGAGGGGCTGGGGTTATGGCTCAGCAGTAGATTGCTCATCTAGTACATGGGAGGCCCTGGGTTTGATCCTCAGCATCACATATAAATAAATTTTTAAAAAGCTATTAAAAAAAAAAAGTGAGGGTTCCTTGAGCTCTTCCACTCCCATTGACAAGTCTGGCCCAACACTCTGTTCTGTTGTCCATGACCTACACTCTGGATATACTTCTCACTTATGGAAGAATCTGGAAATACTACGTTCTGTTCTCAGCCTTAGGTCTATACACAATTCTCCTGCTGGAGAATACATAATTCATCTAACATATCATTTCTTCCTGGACTCCTATGTCCAATGACCTAGGGATCTCCTCATTCCCTAGGTACCATTACCACCAGTTGACTTCCACAAGTCCAAGCATAACCCTGTTGAAATCCCACTTTGCAATCATATCTTCCTAACTTCACAACTGCCAATGTTCTTCATAGACCCCAGTTTCCTTATCCACCCCCCTTCTCTCCTTATTTCTCACGACCCAGCTTAGGCTTCATGTACCATATTCAGTCCCTTCTAAAACAGAATTCTTTATTTTATGTGCCAATAAAACCAGACCCTTGGAAGAGTCCAAGTATCTGACTGTTCCATGGCTGTAGCAGGATCTATAAAACAAAAATTTGGCCCTTCTTATAGCTGATATCCTCACCCATACCTCTGTCCTGGACAACAACCTAGAGAAGTTCTTCAGAGAATTGAACCCAGGGTGCTTTACCACTGACCTACATCCACAACACTTTTCTTTTTTGCAGTGTTGGGGATCCAAGCTGGGGCATCACACATACTAGACAAACATTCTAGTACTCTATCACTGAGCTACATATATTACCAGTTCAATTCTTTTTCATTTTTGGGGAGTGCCTAGCTAAGTTGCCCCAGCTGGTCTCAAACTTACAATCCTCCTGCCTCAGCCTCCCAAGTAACTAGGATTGATTATACACATGCATCACCACTAACATTTAACTTTCCTCATTTTCACTCATTTCCACTTTATTTCCTAATGATAAAATATGCTTCTGGCAACCAATTTAATAATAAGCCTGATGTATACAAACAAATGCATAGCGCCCCTGTACCAAAAATGAACTCATTTTCTCTATCTCTACAACCTTCCAATAACAGCATGAATGGCCTTACCTGCAACCAGAGGCATCAGAAAATATCTGAATTCTTAACTTCTCCCAGCCTCTCAAACCCTTATGTTATCTCATTTTCCACAGGGCCCTCATTCCTAAATCCTGTTCAATATTTCTTTGTCTTTCTTTTGATACTGGAACTCGGAGGCAATTATCAGTGAGCTACACCCCCAGTCCTTTTTATTTACTTTGAAACAGGGTCTCACATCAAGTTGTTCAGGGCCTTGCTAAGTTTCTGAGGCTGCTGGCCTTGATCTTATAATCCTCCTGCCTCAGCCTCCCAGGTTGCTGTTATCACAGGCATGTGCTACTATCTCCTGCCCTGTGTGTTATTTCTTGATTTCCAACAACAGATATAGTGCTGAATGGGGCCTTCTTTACACCATCAGAAAGTTGAAAAATCATTCAATCATGATAAGTTAGGGACCATTTAAAGGTTTCTCACAGCTGGGTGTGATGAAGCATGCTTGTGATCTTAGGAACTTGATTCAGGAGGCTGAGGGAAGAGGATTGCATGTTTGAAGTCAGACTCAACAACTTAGCAAGATATTCAAGCATATTAGCAAGACACTCTCTTAGGAAAAAAAAAAAAAAAAGACTGTAGCTTAATGATAAACCACCCCTGGGTTCAAATCTCCAGTACCAAACAAAATAAAAATATAAAAAAGTTTCTCACAGGTGTATACACTGCACGGCAGAGTAAGAACTCATTAATTCCCTCCTTTACCAAAGGAAAGAATTTTCTTTTTGCATTTCTTTCATATCCATCTATTAATTCCAATACAAAGGATAGCCTATTTCTAGCTACCCTTGTCTCATTTTAAAAAATTTTTCCAAGCATAGGCTGGGGATGTAATCCAGTGGTACAGTATCTGCTCAGCATGTGAGGCCCTGGGTTCAATCCCTAGTACCAAACACACACTCCATCAAAAAACCCAACCCAGGGCTGGGGATGTGGCTCAAGCGGTAGCGTGCTCGCCTGGCATGTGTGCGGCCCCGGTTCGATCCTCAGCACCACATACAAACAAAGATGTTGTGTCTGCCGATAACTAAAAAATAAATATTAAAAAAATTCTCTCTTAAAACAAAACAAAACAAAAACACAAACCCAACCCAGGGGCTGGGGGTGTGACTTGGCAGTAGAGCGCTCACCTATCAAGTGAGAGGCCCTGGATTCGATCCTCAGCACCACATAAAATTAAGTAAATATTCTGTCCAACTACAACTAAAAAATAAATACTAAACAACAAAAAACAAAAAACAATCCAACCCAATCATAGCTCAAGCTTTTTTGTTGTTGTTTTATTCTGAGCTACATACACCCCCAACCTCAGGGATTTGACACACATGGTAATTCTCCCTCCAAATATACCCTGCCCAACCTTCTTTCTAGCTAAATCCTGCTAATCCTTTAGGTCTCTGCTCCAATAGCTCATCTTTCCAAAAGATCTTCCCATTATCCACAACCTAAAACTCATGGTCCTACATTCCCATAGTACTCTTTTTGTGGTTTAAAGTGTCTTAAAAACTGCATTGGATATCTACTGGGAACAGACTCTGTTCTGTTGTCCACTGTGACCTCATCCTCAGCACAGGCCTGGCACAGCAGGACCAAGATTAGCAAAGGATTAACTGGCCAATGTGGGGTCAACAGCTTCCTCAAGAATGCAGCAGCCTACCTAGGCTGAAAAGACATGCAAGAGAAGCATAAAACAACACAGACATTTCAAAGAATGACTTAAAATGACCCCTAGTAGAAACCCTTACAGATTATAAATGTTATTTCAGATACAAAGTGATTTCCTCTCTGAAGGTATGAGAAAAAAGCACTTTTTTTCCTGAACCATCCCTACATTTAATACACCTATTGCTCAGTTTTACTCCAGAATCAGTTTTATACCCCATTTTCTAGAAGCCCTTAACTTTTCATTAACTAAAATTCAGTTGAAAATAGTGGAGTCCTGTTCAAAGTTAGATTTAAAGTAGTGGCAGAATATACTTTAAACTTCTAAGAGAAACACTTTCTTTTTAACAAATGAAATGTAACTGGGAAAAAAAAAAAAAAGACTTTTCTTACCTCAAGGAAAGATGGATGCCTTCAGTGGGAGACACTTAAAGTAGGTAACAAATTGTCCTAAAAACAACAACAAAAAAAGAGATTATTTGTTACAAAGAGAGTGAGAAATAACTTTAAGCTCCAACAGGCCAGAGACCCTTTTTATCCCTGGGTGGACACAGTTAAATTTCACAATACCTATCCCAACAGCAATTCGAAAGTTTACCTTTTCATAGGGTAATATAGACAACAGAAGGGAAATACCCCATGGGAGAAAACTGAAATACTGATAGGAGGAAAAAGAGAGCATGTCTAGAGATGAAAGTGGCAGCTTGCCTTTCACTGGGATGGGCACCCTGACAACACTATTCGATAGAAATAGTTTTACTTAATTTACAGTTTACAAGAATCCCTCTGGGGGCAGTGTGGAGACACTCAAAGGATTGACTCAGTTTTATTTGGTAACTAACTTTGAGCAAAATGTATTTGATCTGACATTGATCTTTTAATTATCCGTAGAGAGGAGATGTTGAAATATGGTTTTCAGTAGGAAAAACAACTACATTCTCAGTCACCTGAGAAAGCTGTCTCCAAAGAACTAGGCATGGGCTGAAGTCTATGGAATATTTCTGAGAATTAAGTAGTATTCTTAGTTTTGAAAATGGGAAATGGGAAAAGTCAGTTAATCCTGCTGAATCTGTCTGTAGTCTCAGAACAAATTACATCTGCCTTGTCTTACAAACTTCCTGTGATTATTTCTTAAGATACTGCTGAGGGACTATACAAATGGAAAGTAAGAGTTATTGGGAAACTTATTAAGAAATGGTAGTTTGGGGTTGGGGCTCAGTGGTAAAGCACTTGCCTACCATGTGTGAGGCACTAGGTTTTAGTCTCAGCACTACATATAAATAAAGTCAATTGACAGCAACAAACACACACAAACACACACACAAAAAGGAAAAGGTAGTTTAAAATACCCTGGAATCAAGTTTTCAAAACCCTTCAACTTCCCATATGCTGTCTCTTGCAGGCAGAAAACCCTTACAGAGCAGACCCATTTCTGCCCTTGTTTATTCCAGCTCCAAAGATTTTTAACTTAGTCCACCTACTAACACCTGAGGCCCCTCTGGGAAACATACAGCTGGAAGCCAGATCACTTTAATTCCTTCAGAGAAGTTTCTAACACTTGAAACGCACTAACACTGTGTGTGTGGGTGTGTGTGTTTAGAGGCAGATTAAAAAACCCAGTCTTACTGCTAACAGCACAGCAATTGTAATTGAGTGTATTTAAAACAAACAAAAACAACAACAACAAAAAATCACCACACAAAAAACTTCTCCCGTTTTCAGATTTAGCTGTATGGAGTGCTGGGAGGACTTTGCACAACTGCCCCCTGGAGACAAGATGGTGTGACAGTGTAGCCAGCCGAATTCTAGATCGATGGTTCTCAAACCTGAGCATGCACATGGATCACGGAGGGGACTAGAGAAAACCCAGACTCGACTGCGTTTCTAACAAGCTCAAAAGAATATGCTCTTCCCCACTCGTGATACTGGTTAGACTGGATTGACACCGCCTTCAGGTAGTTCTAATCAAGATAAACAGGGTGCGCCTTTAAATCCTCGGCTAGTTGGGTTTATCAGCCGAGTAAACAGGGCAGTTCAGGCGCCACCCACGTTGTTCTTTTGTTTAGGACGGGGGCTCGGGTGGGACCCTGGCCTCGCCCTCCTCTCTCATCTCAGCGTCCCCAGCAGTTTTCACTCGGAGCCCACCCCTCCCTCTATTTTGTAAAGGAGTTTGAACCTCCCGGTGGCGGCGAGTTTCCAGCCAGGTTATTTTACTCAAAGTTCTCCTCAAGTCAAAAGTCCACGGGAGCCGAGGCCGTGAGGGCCACGCCGCGGACTTTTCCGCTAAGACTTACCACTGAGGAAGGTAGGGCTGATTTCTTTCATCAAGTAAGCGCGGCTCGCAGCCAGAGAACCTCAAATTCCACCGACGCTTAGAAACGTAGAAGGCTCTGGGGAGAGTCCAGGTGCATCTTTTTTGTTCTTAACCTGAAAAGGAAGTTCAAATCGCTGGAGCAAGTGCTTTTTGTGAGGGTCGAAACCCCAGGGGCGCCGCACTGTTTTGGCGGGAAGCAAGGCCGAGATCCGGTGACAAGGTGACGGCGTTCCCTCCGGCCTTCACCTGACGAACCCGCAGCCCGGAGAGCTCCGGCCGGGCAGGA